CGTCCCGCCGTTTGTTCTTCTCTCTTTTCTTTTTCTTTTTTTTTTTTTCTCTTTTTTTTTTTCTTCTCTCTTTTCTCATCCTGCTCTTCTTCTTCTTGTCGTCCTCGCACTTGTCGGGCTTGGGGCCAACCGCTTCATCAACCGCTTCATTAGCCGCCCCAGCTGCATTGCCCATCGCGCTCGACGAGCTCGACGATACACCGTCGTTAGCCCATGCAGACCCGAATGCAACGCCAGGGTCAACCCCTGCAGACCCGAATGCCACGCCAGGGTCAACCCCTGCAGAACCGAATGCAACCCGCTGCCCCTCCGCTTGCTCCACACCTTGGGCACACAATTCACCAACACCTGCTCCAGACCTTGGGCACAGCGTCGGCGGTGACAACGCCACACCTGCGCGCAGGACCGTCGACCCTCATGCCGAACGGAAAACCCAGGGCGGCGCCTACCGATAGCCCATCACGATTCCGTGCACCCTTCCTTCAAAAGAGGAGCAAGCCACCAGTACTTGGCCCAGCTATCGGGCTCGGAAAAAGAGTAGAGTAGAAACGTTTCTAGTCGGATGAATTTGGATGAATTTGGGTGCTCCTTTAGTGGCCCGTACGTTTCCTAAAATCGTGGCTTGTTAACGGGCACGAGTTCCTACTTCTTCCCCTGAATACAACGTACGGCCATTATAGCTGTATTTTCTTCCCCCGAATACAACGTACATCATTATGGCTGTGTTTGAGGCATCTTTCGGTCTAGATACAGCTATAATGACGGTACGTCGTATTCGGGGGAAGAAGGTAGTTAGGGTCTGATCTCACCACTACACTACGACTGTAGTCGCCAAAAAGCAATACAAAGATGTCAGCGGCCGTGGCGGGACGAAAAAGAAAAATTGGATCCCACCAGGGCGACTTCTTCGGTGCTTTTCCTGAACCCGCGGCGGTTCTTTGTGGGTTGTAGCAACTAAGCTTGCACCATTCGCGGAGGTGCTGCCACGACACATACAAGCGGAAGTATGGCAAGATATTTCGGCGGCTGCGACGAAGTCGGAAAGTGGTGGGATCCGCAAACTACAGTGTAACTGGGCTGTTACCTGCGTGCAGTCTTGGTGCCAACCAACTGATATAGTGGGCTTAGTGGAAGAGCTTTTAGGAATAAAAGGGGATCCTATATGGTTTCCCCAACTTCCCCGTCCGACGGCAGTGCAACAGGGGCTGGGTCCCACTTGCGCTTTGTCGTGGTAGCTGGCTACCACGGTGCGACAAGGTCTTGCGCGGGAAATTTCACAGCATTCGTTGGCGCTGCTCGGCAGCGTTCATATTTGTTCAGTACAGAAAAAAATGTGGCTGTCTGTGGACATATTCTCGGTCGCATTCCTCATGGTTAGGCCATTGGGGTGCTGGGGTTTGGTGTGTAAGATCATTTTACGATCATTTTCTTGGTGGGTATCGTGTCCTGTGGCGGTTTTATCATGCGGCAGCGTTCATATTTGTTCAGTAGAGAAAAAAATGTGGCTGTCTGTGGACATATTCTCGGTCGCATTCCTCATGGTTAGGCCATTGGGGTGCTGGGGTTTGGTGTGTAAAATCATTTTACGATCATTTTCTTGGTGGGCATCGTGTCCTGTGGCGGTTTTATCATGTCCGAGCCGTCAGGTCTGCAGCAGAAACTTGTCTGTGCGTATTGTATGTGTATTTCAGCACAGTGCCAGTCTACATTATTTACGTCAAGATTTAAGAATGAATGTTAGGGACTGCCGCTATTGAGACTGGCAGGAGGTGAAGGGCTCGATTCTCCTGCGCTCGCATGGCGTGCGTTCATTTGTGGCCTACGTTTCGAAGTACAGTAACGAAGCGTCGCGGGCTCGAGTCCCAGCTTCGTACGCAAAGGAGCTTGAGTTGCACCACAGACTCTGTTTGACTATATATAGGTTGTCAACTCACACGCAAAGGAGCTTGAGTTGCACCACAGACTCTNACAGACTCTGTTTGACTATATATAGGTTGTCAACTCACACGCAAAGGAGCTTGAGTTGCACCACAGACTCTGTTTGACTATATATAGGTTGTCAATTCACCCGCAGAGCCAACACTTTGTGCAGTGCAGCGTGCGTGATTCATCAGCACTGGGGGGCACATGCGCATATTCGTGTTGCTCCCTGTTCATGAACATTTGGCAGACGACGGAAATATGGGAGGTGAGGGAGTCGGGAGATGAGGATGCCCTCCGGGACGTGCAACTGTTAATCTTGCTTTATAGGCACAGAAGAGCCACATTCGCGTACACACACACACACACACACACACACACACACACACACACACACTTACACTTACTCACTCTCTCAATCTCATTCACGAAAAATAGGAGCAACAAACAGTCCAGGAATTCGAAAGGAGTACATGGCTCCTGAGCACACAGACTGCTGTAGAGTGAAAAATAAAGAGGAAACGAATGGCACGCGACTGCACGGACGAAAGTACGCATTGAAACACGAAGTACTGACAGATGTTCATCCGACGGACTAATGAATTGGTACCCACACATGAACTTCTGCATGCTAACTTCACGGATGGTGTGCCGTACAGCCATTCATCCTCTGTAGTAAGCACTCCAGTAAAAAGAAAGGCGGCAAGAGACCATTACTGCCCAAGTCCTTCACATAGAAACGGACGTTTGCCCTATCCACTAGCAAAGGGGATCCGATTAAGCTCCTGAATCTGGACGTGGTTTGAGAAGAGATGCAGAAAAGCAGTTCAATCTCGATTTTCTGCATCTGTCGAGCGGAGACGTCTAGATTCGGACTTTCGCTCCAATTCTCTTTGGTAGTGGGGATTAGCAAAGAGGATTGGATTAAGCTCCTGAATCTGGACGTGTTTTAAGCATAGGTGCAGAAAATCAGTTCAATCTTGATTTTCTGCACCTATCGGCAAACACGTCCTGATGCAGGCAGTCAATCCATTCCTCTTTGCTGGTGGGACGTCGCCCCGGGGCCAAGTCCCACTAGCAGCGTTGAGCTACCTCAACGCCTGAATCTGGACATGTTTGTGGAGACGTGCAGTTCAGGAAACTCAACACCATTTCTGCACATCTCCGCAAAAGCGTCCAGATTCCGGCGTTGAGGTAGCTTAACGCTGCTAGTGGGACTTGGCCCCCGGGGCTAGGTCCCACTTACACGAATTAAACGATATATTGACCGTAGATAGCGAAGATCAACGGCCAGAATCTCTTAATCCGTGCAAGTGGGACCTTGCCCCCGCGGCCCCCCGGTGTTTTACGTGTCTTGTGTTTTTTTTTTTTTGCCCTATTATTTCCCCCTGCAAATAGGCCGTTGCTCCATTACCATTCAGGACTGGACATAATTCATTACCCTGGATGTGCTTTGATCAGATATCCATAAAAGCAGATCAACCACAATCGTCTGCATGTGTTGCCGAACACGTCCATGTTCAATAAATTGACAATAATTACTAAAAAAAAAAAAAAACATTGTGGCATGTCTCTATTCGGCCAGGGATGTGCTCCCATATGCAAAGAGGAATGGATTTAATGCCTGATTGTGGACTTGTTTGTGGAGAGGTGCAGACAATGGCGAGTAAACTGCTTTTCTGCATATCTGCATAAAACACTTACAGATTCAGAAGCTGAATCCAATCCTGTGTGATGTTTCTGAACTTGTTTGTGGAGTGGACTATTAGTATTTGTTTGATATTTTATTTCAATTTCTAGTATACATAGCTCATGTGCAATGTTACAGCTTCGACTTGGTCGTGGGACTCGTGGGTTCACTTCCATGGCCGACTGTAGTCCAAAATATGAGGATTTCGTTTTTTTGTCTACGGGGCTAGGTCCCACTTACACGAATTCAGCGTTCAGATACATTCGAGACCTTGCCCCAAGGCCTGGTCCCATTAGCAAAGAGGATTAGATATAATTCGGGAATCTGGATGTGTTTGGCGCACAGATGCAGAACAGCCGATCAATCTCAATTTCCCGCATCTCTCCACAAACTTGTCCAGATTCAGGAATTAAGTCCAATATTATTTGCTAATGGGACCGGGCCCCGGGTGAATCCGATGCTTCCTTACAAAGCTGGTAGGACAACCCACTTAACTTCTTGCGTGTGCGTGTGTGTGTGTGTGTGTGTGTGTGTGTGTGTGTGTGTCTGTGTGTGTGTGTGTGTTGTTATACGGGTTTGTATTTTTATTGTGTGTGTGTGTATGCGTGTGCGTGTGTGTGTGTCGCTGAAAGACTGCAACGGAATGCAATGGCACGGTTGCATCGCTCGTCGCGAGTTCAAATTCTCCTCGCTGTTGTTGCTGTAGTTGCTGCAGCGAACCAGTTTGCTGATGATGCAATTGAGGCTTTTGAGCAAATATGGGAACGGGGGAGATCGTGCCAAGCACTGTTGGAGGTGCCTTTCGCAATGGCCAGAAATGGTGCACAGTGCATGAATTCCAATTTCGTATCTGTGTCAAGCTTGTCCCATTTCTCCACCCTCTGTCGATTTCTCCGAAATTCACCGAGATGGTGGGTTTTGAGGAGGGCACCGGGGTTGTGGAGAAACCTCGAAATCCAGGACGATGCAGAGGATGAACACTATTTCCCTCTCCTCCGTATGAAGCGGAGAAGTTTCAATCGTATCCTTGGTAGTGTTCGCCGCCCCCATCTGCAGAAGCAGATAACTAGATTCAGGATGCCACTCCACCCTGCACAGGTGCTGGCATATGCAATCCACAGGTGGGCCCTCTGTCTCTCTCTCTCTCTCTCTCTCTCTCTCTCTCTCTCTCTCTCTCTCTCTCTCTCTCTCTCTCCCCCCCCCCCCATAACGTGCATTTGTCTATCGGTATGACTATGACAGATTGTCCAACAGCGAAAAGGTAAGTCGTTTCCAAGGTCGACGATGTCGTATGGAGACAGGCGACTTCAACTCAGCTTCTCTGCCAACTTGGAACTCGCCTGCGCCGCCTTCCATCCTCGTGCCAAGCTCACGGGCACGAACCAAGCGGGCTTCTGTATCCTCGCGCATAGCAGAGCATGCCATCTGCACGCACTTCTCCTGCATGGCAATCTGCTTGTCGCACACATCCATCATTGCCTTGCTCTGTTCACTTCCAACTCGCTCCAACGCTATCTACTGCTCACGCATCGCGCTAGTGATTGTTTGCACAGACTGTTCCCTTGCGGTCTGAGCACACCGCTTACGTTTACCCAGAGTCGGTAGCTGAGCGGGGGTGCTCGCATTACCTGCACTGCCACCTGCCCTCGTACCATCTTGGCCTGTGATGACGGACGATCGTGAATCACGCCGGAGGGCGGGTTCTGCACCTGGACTCATACCATCTTGGCCTGTGTTCGCATTACCTGCACTGCCACCTGCACTGCCACCTCCACTGCCACCTCCACTGCCACCTGCACTCGTACCATCTTTGCCTGCGCACACCGACGATCCTGGATCACGCTTGGGGGTGGTTTCAACATCACCAGATTGACGACCTTCACTATTGAGTGTCCCGCCTGCTCCACTAACCATCGATCCCCCACGACCGCCGCTCTCATGAGATTCCGTAATATCTTCGGGGTTGATCGCCTGGGTCCGCTTATCGAACTTGTCAATGTGATCAAACCAGGCCCTCCGCATAATAAAATCCAATTGGTTTTGAACCCTCGTTTCAACCTCCATGTCCCAATAACTCTTACGCCCACTCCTTTTGTCGTTGTCTATGATATCTTTGTAGTTGCAATAGACGTATTTCCAACGATTCTTACACATGTCACGAGTTCGATTGAAACCCGCCGCAATGAGATTCTTGCTGATCTCTTTCCACAGCTTCGTACCGCTTCGTGCTATGCCATAGGCCTCAGAGTCCTCTTCACGCGCGGCCTTGTAAGCACATCTCAAGGTCAGCAGCAGCAGCGTCTCATCGTCTCTCTTGTTTGGTGTCTTTCCGCTCTTCTTGGTTGCCTTTTTGGGAGCAGACTTCGCTTTTTGCACACCACCGTCCTGCTCACCAGCTGTGGCATCTGCCGCCGTCAAAGGTGTTCCATCTGCTTGAGCGACACCACAAACAATAATCTGATCACCACCAGCATTGCATACACCCCCTGCACATATACCGTCCCCTCCACATTCCTCCTGACCAACAATATCTTCCAGTTCGAGTCGATCTTCGACAAAACTTTGCCCTGAACCGCCACGGCAGCCCCCCGACGACATTGCGCCCGCCATAACCGGCGGGGCGGGGGGGTAATTGAGGTCTCCAACAGCTGCGCGTGCATTACTTAGATTGTTGTTCCCCGCACGACACGCCATGGCGGACACATTTGACACTTCTGTCGTGGCCATGGCCGCATGCTCATCCTGAACACCATCCTTCGAGGAGGTTGATCGTCGTCCGCCCCCTCCGATAAATGAACTGCATCCCCTCCAGGCGCAACCTTCTTCGACACCGTCGATGCGGAATCCGATAGAGCGTCCTGTGCTTCTCGTTCCTTCGACGTTTGTAAATTGCCTGCTGCACAACTGTTGAAAGATGGCTGACCAATGACCATGATCCTTCATCACGGATCCGGATTGTGCCTCCTGCCCATTTAGCGTCGCAGCTCTCTGTCCAACTCCGCATAACATGCCATTCATAGCATGTGGAGAAACGGAAACGACATGCGCACGGGATGCATCACTCGTGGCCAGTTAAGAAGACTTAGACATGGAAAGCAGGCAAGTGGATTGAAAATGTGGCTGTCCAGCTGGTGTGCTATGTGAAGGGGGTGAATGCAAGAATGGGTACTGAGGCGATGACAACTGAAACCTAGATGCTGTAAGCATGCAAGGCACATCCTGCGTGGTACATGCCCCCATACCCAAATCTGTCAAAGAACGGTGCTGTGAAGGAGGACAGTGAGGGGACGAATAAATGTTAGGTGTACAGTGAAAACTATAACTTGGACGTTGCACGGAACATGGATGTGAAGAAGTGAATGGCGAGTACTGATGTACAGGTGGAGGAAGCACATACAGTTGTGGTTGCATAGGCCGAGGAGGACAATCATAGTGCTGGTAATCCCCTGCCACAGTAACGGGTGGAAGGAGAGCAGCACTAGCACCGCTTGCACCGAATGGAGTGTCCAGACCACCTCCCTGCCCTTGAATGTGTTGTTGCAGCGCATCGTAATAACCTCCCCTGGAAACACTGAGTTTTTATAAAAAAGCAGGTCGAGCAGACTGAGAGAAAGTGATGCGGCCCTCAGACCATGTCGTCACTGACTCAACCCCATCAGAAGGCACGTTGGTATCCATAACTCCACCTATGACTAGTTAGGAAGAGAATGAGAAAACGACTTTTGTTGTACGACGCACCTTACACGTTTCAGGTATTGAAATCCTATGACAAGCTTCGATATATTATGATAGCTCAATTCTAACCACGCAGACTTTGTCACGTATCACTCCCTAAACCCTCAACAGAACGTCATCATGAAGTCGACATAGGCTACAACATATGACACGTCCATCACAATAGACTGCTCCAATAGGAACAACACCAACGATGGACGGAGGTGAACATGTCCGGCTACAGGAGATGTGCAGCAATCGCAAACGCAGGTCAAACCTCATTGTGAAGCTTGTCCCTAAGAACCACGAATCGCAAGAAACAAATCTGAAATCGCACAAATAAGAAACATCAACCATATGGTTCGCGTCTTTCCAAGTGCCAATGAACTACAGCCGACATATCATTACGGGGTTTGGTCTCACTTACACGAATTAAGCGATATTGACCGTTGATAACAAAGATCAACGGCCATAATCTCTTAATCAGTGCAAGTGGGACCTTGCCCACGGTACTCTCGACATGTGCAAAACAAGAGTGAATCTCCCGCAACTACATGGAAAGATTCACCGCCATGATTTGTGTCTTTTGTGCATGTGAAGAGTAGTGGCAAGCGGCCGAGGCATTTCACTCTTTGCTCCCACAAGAACCACGAGTTGTTTTAGACATCATGGCGGTGAATCTTTCCATATCGTGGTGGGAGATTCACTCTTGTTTTGCACATGTGGAGAGTACGGTAGTGGCGAGACGCAAAGGCATTTCACAGTACCCTCCCACAACAACCACGAGATGTTTGGGGCACATGTGGTATATTGTTTTCTCACGCCGTCGATGGTGATGATCGAATGCACAAGAAAAGACAAACATTAATGCGTGATATAACTGAAGGTTGGTACCCTATACATGCCAAGGTTACTGGACAGCATGTCGGCCCCTCCCCACCAACTGCAGGCCATATGCTCCATGTGCATGCACCTATGCAACATACGCGTCTACAAACAATTCATACTCCCACACCTACGTGCGTCAGCGGACCGCCCACGTTCAAATAAATGTATGCACCCCTTGATATGCACAAAAGTCCACCACGTTCCACGGCCCCAACCTCCCAGCCACCGTAACTTGTCCACACGAAAAACCTCTGACAAACCCCCGATTCCCTGCACCCACAAGCAATCGCGAAAATTATGGGATCGCCCTCCTCGGGAGACTCGACGTGACGCAGAATCGTCGTACCCAGGTACCCCGCATCTAAAGTGGTAGCCAGGTGGCAGGTACCACGCAAACGAAGGCGCCATAATGACCGAGGACCAATAAAAATAAGAACAGTCTTCGGAAACCTAAATCGTGCGGCCACTTTTGGCGCCGGCATTGCCCAAGCCGGTCGATGACTTTATGCGAACGACGGACCTGTGTATACACCCGTACAAATACGGCCAGTCTGTACGGCCGCCCGTACGCCCTGTAAGTACGGACTTATGGCCCTCCGTACGTCCTTTCGCGGGGTTGTTGAGGAGGTGGATGGGCTGGGGTGTCGGGTGTCAGGGGGTACCTCCCCATAATTAAAAAAAAAAAAAAAA